TATTTTTTCATTCAACATTATATTTGTAGGAGTTATCCATATTGTATGTCTATTTGGAGAATCCATTAAATGAATATTCCCTATTTATCTCTTTCCTGTTAATAGAACAGTGTTGCTGTGATTAGTCTTATAAATGTCGTATACACAGAGAGTCTCTAGGGTATATATATGTCTTGTACACAGTGGAATTACTGTGTTGTATGGTACGTACATCTTCAGATACACTGTGGTGGGTGTTACTGAGTTGATTTCCACTCCTATTGGCATCATGTGACACAGTTAAAACTGCCCTTTAGGATTTACTAGGCTGTAATCTTCATGGAAGTAGATTTCCATGTCTTTTTCCTGCAGAGCCACTGTTGTTCTTACGTGCTGTTGAGTCGATTCCAACCCATAGTGACCCTGTATAGGGTTTTCAAGGAACAGCTGGTGAGCATGAACCACCGACCTTTGCAGTTCTAATGACTTTGCAGTCTGACGCATTAGCCCACAGCATCACACCAGGACTCCATTAGATACTGCCAAATTGTGGTGATTGATTCAATTTATACTCCCTTAGTTTCTGAGTTCTTATTTCTCCATATCCTAAACAACACTTGGTGTCATCAGACTCAAGTTTTTGGCATTCTATTTATGATACTAAATATTAGTTTTATGGTGTAAACCTACCAATGTCAAAATAGGAGAGTAGGCCTAAGATAAGTAGCTGTTCAATGTCATGCAATCAAAAGATAGCTGATCTTGGGTGAAAAGAGATGGGAATAAGATTCTTATGATTCAGTTGTGAGTAATTGCTATAATGACTAATTGTAACTGTCACAACAGTAAAGGTAGAAGTTTTGTAACAAAAAGGGGGAAGTAGTTAATCTTACAGACAAGGAACAGAGGACCCTAGGACTATCAAGGGAGAAGAGTATGAGTGGAATGTGGGACCCTGTCCAGAGAAGCAGTGACACCAGAGATGGAGGCAGAGATGATGACATGGAGAAATAGAGCAGCTGAGGCTCTAGACTCATGGATAGAGAAAGACTGAGTGCTGGTGGCCAGGAGGCAGGCTTGCAGAATATGCCCTTTGGTTGTTTAAGTGATTATATATTCCTGAGTATTTTTGTATACATCAAAAAACAAAAACAAAAAACAAAGGGAATAGAAGCAAATACTGTTGAATGATGATGCACAGAGAAGATTATTATCATTACAATGAAACAATGCGTGTTAAACTGATGTTCTCCCATGTAAACTATCACTCAATTCCCAATTAAAAACTTAACAAACAAAACCAACAACAACCAAAAAGACAGCTGATCTTGAATTAGTTGATAGTTTTGCTAGTGTCAAATCCCATATCTGTTCCTCTGCATTTCCCTACCCAGGGACCATGGTAGTGATGGTAACAGAGTTCACTCAGTAATTTAGGGACTAATTATAGAATTTTATGAATTTGCCCTTCTTTCCCTTTCATCTCTCATCTATTTCTTGAGACTTTCTACTAAAAGATAAATAGAGGAACAGAAAAGAAAATGTAGGTAGCTTTCCAGTGTTTAGTTCTTATTAATACTTAATAGCTGGCAGTACAGTGGCACCATACTAGACTGTGAACCACAAGGTTGGCGGTTTGAGCCCACTAGCCGCTCTGTTGGGGAAAGATGAGGCTTTCTGCTCCTGCAGAGATTTACAGGCCTGGAAACCCTATACAGGATTGCTATTAATCAGAACCAACTCCACGGCGCTTAAGCAAGAACTTAATAGCAAGCCTGACTCTTTGGTTCATTTGTACCTAGTTTCCACTGTTTCTTTATTATTCCATTATTGTAACTGACTACCCTGGTCTCAGGAGAGTCACAATAGAGAATGTCTTCCTCCTTCTAATTCAAGAACTTCTAAGGGTATGAGACTGTCATTCTTTGCTTGTTCCTGAATGGACCCCAATTTCCTTCTATTATCATATATTGTTGTTGTCGTCATTGTTGAGTGCCATTGAGTTGATTCCAACTCAGAGAGATCCTGTATAGGGTTTCCAAGGAGCAGCTGGTAGATTTGAACTACCAACCTGCAGTTAGCAGTCCCATGCTCATCCTACAGCACCACATGAGGACTCCATTATCATATATATTAGAAAGACAGAAAACATTGGGATGGCAAAGAAACTGGCTGCATTTGTGACTATGAATCATTTCTCAGACTAATTTAAGGCTCCATGTAGCAGTGTGGCCAGAGACCTAGTATCATCAGATTATTTTAGATGAGACAGGTTACTATTGGCTGTGACTTCTTTGTCTCATTTTTCTTTGTACTTTTTGTTGAAGTATAATATACAGAAAGTTTCTATGACTTTTGTTGTTTTTTTGTTGTTTTACTTTTGCTGCTATTTGAATAATTATTTAATTAACATAGCCCTCTTATTTATGTGTTGTTGTTAGGTGCTGCCAAGTCAGTTCCTATTTAATGAATTTTCACAAATTGAGCACACCCATGAAGCCAGCACTGTCAAGAAGCAGAACATTACTATCCTCACCCTATGCTCTCCATTGTAGTCTATTCACCCACTGACTAGTGGTGACCTTTATTCTGACTGCTGATAATCCAGATTAGTGTTGTCTGTTTGATTCTTTATGTAAATGAAATGATATTGTGTCTACTCTTGTGTCTGCTTTCTTTCATTCATTCATAAGTTTGTGATGCTTGAGACATCACAAATTATTCATTCTTTTTGGCATATAATATCCAGTGTTCCTTTCACTCATTTTAATATAGCATTGCCAGTGACCCCTGTCGATGTGTTTCAGGTGACAGACGGTATAGTCCTGCTTTATCTCAGTGTTTAAAACGCACTGACAGTGAAAAGATACGGGAGTTCTGGTGGCACAGTGGGTTAAGCACTGGACTATGAACCACAAGGTTGGCTGTTTAAAACCCACTAACCACCAGAAACCCTGTGCAGAGTCACTATGAGTCGGAACCGACTGCACGGTACTTAACAACAGACACTGGGAGAAAGAGCAGGCTGGCTGCTCCCATCAATATTTAGTCATGGAAACCATATGGAGCAGTTTTCAAGGCCAATTGAAAATGTCAGTTGAACTAGAGCTGATCAACCTGAAAGAATTTTCAGTTCTAGGTAAAGAGCCTGCTCATGGTCTTTGTAAGTTTTGAACTAATATTTTCTTTTTTATCTAAATTAGGTTAATGACCAGATGGTGAGTAGGCAAATCAGAACACGGGTAGACGGAAAATCAGATCTTTATCTAACACTATCACATTTATGTCCTTTTGGGAAAAAAAAAAATCTCTAAACTTGAGTGTCCCAGTGTGTCCATCTTAGTTCATATATTATAGGACTGAGAAACCTCTGAAGGACAAGTCCCTCTGGAGATGAGATTTTTAGAATATTTAGTAGGAATGGGAGATACTCAAATTTTACTTTCATATGAGGAAATTTCAAATAATTCCCTGGAAAAAGACCTTTTTTCCTTTGAGGAGTTGGATTTTGGAGATTTTAGAGAGCACTTGAACCCTTCAGGTAGAATTGAGGGATGTTTCAGAACATCAAATAGAGCAGACTTGCATTTGAACTGGGTCTTTACTAAGAAATATAGAGAACCAGTTAAGAACCTGGAAACTTCAGGTTTCATCATAAAGCTATCGATTATGTTCACATTCACTGTAAGTCTTTATGATGAAAAAGGTGAATGAACACTTGTTCAGGATGTATCTTGTCTAAAGCATCATTTGTCACTAGATTTTTTTTTTCACTTCTGTAAAATGGATGTATAAATTATATTTTGGTAAAACTTTCAGGATATGTCTATAAAATATTATGGACAGTATCTCAGTGATGTTGTTAGTTCCTTTCAGTCAATTCTGACTAAATAGCACAATAGGACAACACACTACCCAGTCCTGTGCCATCCTCACAGTTGTTATGTTTGAGCCCAGGGTTGCCGCCACTACTAGGTCTTATTTTAAGCATTTGGCTTAGAGCACTGTGCGGCACTAAATGACAAAGTCTGGGTTTTAGAACACCATCCGGTGGCTTTTTCTAGACGTCTAATTTAGAAAAGGAGTATCTGTCAATCCAAATGCAAGAGAAAAAAAATAAGTAAACATCAAAAGCGTGTTATACCATAGTTCTCTGTCTTTGCAGCTGAAAGGCAAGAATCCATCTATCGTGTAAACAGGATCAATAGTAAAAGTTATTTATACTAGGATCACTGAATGTTTCCAGTCAAGATGCCATTTTTTAAGACATACCAGTCCTTGTGGTTCGAACCGATCTTGCAATTGGTTTGTGCTTATCTGACTGTGCCACACCATAATACCAACTATCTCACAGAGATTTTAAATATATATTGTTTTGTTTTAATTACAAATAATGTATTCTTCCATTAGAATTGATACAGTTTTAAATAGCAGCGAAGTACACACTGGTGGGAAATTGGCCCAGAACCTACAAGGATTTCAATCACAATGAGGCTGTCAGTGCTTGTCTCTGTTCAAACCTTGATGTCATTTTCTACTGACCAACTTAGGGGGGCGGAGTGCATACCTATACTGGTCTTAAAACACATACATAAACCCTCTTTTTTATGCAGACACACACTGAAATTCCTCCTGTTGATTACAGTATGTTGAGAACAGTACATTTCACTTATTCAAATTAATGGTACCCCTTCTGTTTTATTTCCAGTAAGAAGTGGGAAAAAAATTCAATTATAAAGAATGTATCTTAATTCTTTGGACATAGGGAACTGTGATGAAAATAGTAATTTTTTTAAAGCACTTTTATTTTCTTAGTGAAAACTCTATAGCTTAAAATGTAATTAGTTTGTGCTATAATAATCTGTTTATTTTGCTTGTATTCAGACATGTTTGACTAATTATGTATGTTAGTGTGAATTCTTATTAAAAGTTAATATTATACCAATATCTGTAACAAATAGAAAACTGAAGTTCACATTTTTTTTGGTTTTTTTTGCTAATAACGTCTCTCTCTCTTTCAGGTAATAAATATACTCTAGAGACTAGACCAAACCAAGAAGGCATTGATGTAAGACAAGAGTTACTGAAATTTCATTCTACTTATTATTCATCCAACTTAATGGCTATTTGTGTTTTGGGTCGAGGTAAGACTCTTCAAAAACTTCATTGAATTCGGTAATCTAAGTAATTTTGGCTTTTTCCAAAATATTTGAAGAAGGATGTAAGATATGTAAGATGTAAGATATTTATCTGCTCAGAGACTTTAAATATGATATATTTGTTGGAAAATATGCAGAGGGAGATTTTGTTTTTGTCTCACCATGTTCCACA